TTTTTTGAGGTGTCTCACCATGTTGCCCAGGCTGGTCTTGAACTCCTGGCCCCAAGCAATCCTCCTCCCTTGGCCTCCCAAAGTGCCGGCATTACAGGCATAAGCCACCATGCCCGGCCAGTTTCCAGACTTCTGAGCTGAAGAAACTGTGATATAGTAAAGTGCATGCTGTCTTCGTTCCAAAGTTTGTGATAATGTGTTGCACAGCATAGAAAACAAACACAGCAGCCTGCAAAGGGCTGGGGATCCAGGGAGGAGACACTCCAGGATGCCTTTCTCAATGAGTTGTGGTGCAATTTCCCAAGGTATTCTGGTTACTTTGGCTACGTTACCATTCACCCCAAAACTTGCAACAATCGTTTATTATCTCTCACTGTTTCTGTGGGCCAGGAACTCAAGAGTGGTTTGGCTGGGTGGCTCTGGCTTGGAGTCTCTCATGAGGCTGCAGGGAGGCGGTGGTTGGGGCTGCAGTCATCTGACGGCTTGACTGGGGCTGGAGGATCTGCTTCCAAGTGGCTCATTCACGCAGCTGTTGGCTGGAGGCCTCGGTTCCTCTTTACATGAGCTTCTCTGTGGGGTCATTGAACTTCCTCGTGAAATGGTGACTGGCTTCCCCCAGGGTGCGTGAGCTGACAGACTAGATGGAAGAGGCGATGCTTTATGGCCAGCCCTGAAGTCACGTGAATCCGCCTGATTCCGTGTGGCAGGGGCTACCCAAGCGCATGAATACCAGAGACAAGATCTCTGGGGCCATTTTGGAGACAGGCCACCACACAAGGGTTGGCAGTGAGGACAGAGGCGGCAGGGGCTTGAAGAGGGCTCTGGAAGGAAGCCTGGGGGCCTTGACAAGGTGGGAGAAGCTCCAAGTATGAGGCCATCCCCAGCTTCCTTCTCGTGTTGTTCAGGGCGTGAGCTGGCTGGAGAAGGTCTCGGCTCCCAGCCTGGTTTCTCCACCCAGCTTTGGGGTGTGTCTCATCTCACAGTGACCTCCTCACCCACCACCAGGCAGTGAAGCAGGGCCAGCCGCCCCTGGGACGGGCAGTGGGCCATAGGAAGGAGGAGGAGCAGCTTCCTCCACCACGGAGCCCTCCAAAGGGGGCCCTGGACCCTGTGGGCACTGGGCCCTGCAGAAGTGGCACAGGAAGGGAGAGAGACCCACCTGAGCCATGCATCATTGCTCCACAGTCCTCGCTCTTTGCTCCCCCTCGAAGCTTCTATCTCACCACCTGCTGCTGCAGGAGAGCCTAACTGGCTCCCTCGGTTTAGAGCTGGGGAGCGGGGGGTGGGAAGGGATGAAGGTGCGTTGGGGGCTGCAGTCAGCCAGGCTTCTTTTTTTTTTTTTTTTTTTTTTGGGACGGAGTTTCGCTCGTTACCCAGGCTGGAGTGCAATGGCGCGATCTCGGCTCACCGCAACCTC